GACTCTGACTCTATACAACAGACTTACAGCAAGCCTGCAAGACAGACTACACTGCTCTCCTGCGTTTCTGAGACTGCAACTCTATGTGCATAAAGCGCCTCCTCTGTGTCCTGCAGGGGCCCCTGAGTCCTCAAGACTAAGCCTTTGCTCTTTAACACTTGAAAGAGCCATTTTTTAGCAGATTTGCACAATGCAATGCATCAGTTGTTGTTTTTTTATAAAATAATGTTATTGCTAATATTTATTTGTTTTAAATTGTAAATTGAGTGTTGGTTTACACTTCATATCATCACCTTTGTTTTCAAAAGTTTAAACCACTCATCAAATTCCCCAACAGTTTATCCCTCCTTCAGCCAATTCTTGATTTTTATTTTCCCTCCTGTGTCCTATTTTCTTAGTTTACCCAGGTTAACAGCAGTCACAGTCTGGGCTATTATCTTATCTCCTCTCCATTCCCCTTGCCACCTGGGCAAACTTCTAAGTCTGTTCCCTTTGGTTTGAAAGTGTTCAGCTTGGATATTTTTCTTGTAACCCCCAAATTCCAAACTCACCACCATCCAGCCCATCCAGCCGACTCGTAGAGACCTGCCAATCTTGCAGCCTAGCACATCACCACTATGCCATCAGTGCTCCTTATCTTATTACAGTGGTCTCATCTAATGCTTGTCCATGTGCCATTGGCTAATTTCACTCGGCATACTGTTCCCCAGGTCCATCCCTGCCACAGGGTCCTTCCTGGCTTCGTCATTACTTTATAGTTATACGTAGTCTTCCATTGTGTGTATGTACTGCTTCCACAGGAGTTGATTGAGGATCGAAGTAAAATGAAATGATTGACAACTTCACTAATACCTCCTTTGATCAAAATCGAGCATATTGACCCAGTTGTAAGAACTTTTCTTTAAGTTGAGGTGTAATCCATTCTGAAGGCTGTAGTCTTTAATCTTCATCAGTGTACATGTGGTTCAAGTCCTCTTCATTTTCAGCAAATAAGGGTGTGTCATCTGTGTATCACATGTTGTTAATGAGTCTTTCTTGCATCTTGAGGATGGGTGTTAATATTGTCCACTGTGATCATTTGTTGAATGTACAGATACAATTAAGAAGCTGAAAGGATATTCTCCTAAAGCACGCATTTCCTGACTTTAAACAATGCAGCATCCCTATGTTCTTTTCAAAGGGCCACCCTGTCGTCTAGGTACAGGGTCTACTGGAGCACAGTGGTCTGGATTCCTATTCTTCAAATTGTTATCTACGGTCTGTTATAATCCACACAATAGAAAGATTTCACATAGTCAATAAAATTCAGGTAAGCATTTTCCTGTTATTCTTTTAGCACTTAATAACATGAAATCTCTGATAAATACATGCCAATATATGTATATATTTACATATACAAATATAACTATTAGATCACTGTGATATATATAGTGATTTATTTGATCATTGTGATACAGCTATATGAAATAAATTATGGGTGACACAATGAATAATCCTGTACAAGAATCAGAATATAGGAGTTTAAATCTATAAATACATGTTAAATACATAAAAAGGAATATTCAGTGGAAATATTACATTAATAAAGATATTATGTCAATTTATCACAAGGTAGGTAGTATTCATCTGGTCCCTGAATCCCTAGCATTTTTATGTAAGGTATTCTATCCCATTGTCCCTTATGATGGCTATACAATGGACAGTTCTTCAGCATCCTATATTATTATAGTGTCTAACTAACCAAAAGAACTCATTTGTTATTGAAGAATTTATTTATTAAATACAAAGACATTTTCATGAATAGATCACTAAATTCTATTTTTTAAAAGACATGCACTCATTAGCCCATCAATGAAAGAGCTTCCCTTAATAAATAATGCAGACATAAATACTGCATTACCACAAACCAGTCTTTTATGGAAAAAAATTTATGAAATTATAAATAGCTTATGTACAATGATATTTAGACAAAAACAATGTCCAATGTTAAATATAAATAAAATTGCAATTTCTTCACTTTCATATTTAAATCATTAACTATTCTCTAGTCTGTGATCAACCTAGGGATAAATGTAAATTTTTCATTCAATTTCTATGTGTAAGAGAGTATTTAGTACTGTTTGTGTGCTGTGGGGATATGAGAGATGTAGACTCTAGCACAGGACATGGGATTCTATGAAACAAGTTTTCAACAGCAGTTCTGATGGTGTAGTGGTTACTCGTTGAGCTGGTAACCACAAGGTTAGTGGTTCTAACCCACCAGTTGCTTGGTGGAAGAAAAATGAGGCTGTCTACTCCTATAAAGCTTTAAAACCTCACATCTCTAATGGGGTAGTTTTGGTCTGTCCTACAGGGTCACTATGAGTCAGAATTAACGTTGTCAGTGACTGAGTTTTTAAAATGAGTATGAGACAGATATATCAATGTTCTGATTTATTTGTTATGACAATGTTGGAAGAGCCTTGGACTAAATAGACTTCTAACATTTTACTATTCAGTATTCAAGTAGTTGTTATTTTAACAAAATGGCTAGCAGCACATACCAGTCTTCTTCATAGATACATATATTAAATACTATTTCATTTCTTTATCAGGTATTTGCAGGCTAGAGAGAAAGGAAGAAATGGAGGCATAATTGAACTTGTTCTGCATATGCTCGACTTAATTCAGTTATCTGAGACCACACAAGTGTTTGTTTTGCTTCTGCTCATCAGTGATAGTTTTAAAATTAGTTAGTACAATTTTAAAAATTACCTTAGTCATTTGATTCTGCTAAATTCTTTCTTTAAATAACAAAAAGCATTCTCTAAATAATTTGAGAAGTATTTTGTTAATTTTTAAGGTTTTTTGTTTGTTTCTCTTCAATTTTTATGGATACCAGTAGAAAGATTATGATGGAATTTTACAGTCCTACATGTTGACACATCTTTAAACCATTTTTAAAAACAGGTGTGGCCTTAGTCTGTCACCACCCGCCTGTCATCTCCACTTCCACTCCCCAAAAGATGCTTCAGAAACTGCAGTGCCCAAAGCAAAAAATAGAAAATCAATTCGCATTCCAAAAGAATAGAAACCAGCCCCCAACGCCATCTGTTTATGAAAAGAGACCATGAGATTCCTCATTCATTTTGGGTGAGTTGTTCCATGTCAGCCTGAAGCAGACACAAGGGGAGGCAGCAAGTCAGAGAGGCTTCCTTGTTGTTGTTTCTGGATTTTTGTTATTGTTGGTGGTGCTTTGTTTTTCACCAAAAAAGCTAATTAGTGAAGATGTGATCTACAAGTGAAGGAATGTAATTTCACTTTTTCAAACTCATTAGTATTACGCTCTTTACGTGCTTTTCTCAAATACTCTTGTCCATTAAGAATAAAAGAGCGATCTAGGAAAAAGCAACGGATGCTTTAGGAATTGAGTCTTGTGATGAAAAACAGTGTCTCTTATCCAGATATTTTTATATTTTAAAACATAACTTGATTAGTTATAAGAGAATTCAAAATTACTATTGCTATGATTCCAAATCATATGGAAACGTTCTTCTTTGGGCTGACTAATGAATTGTGTAACCCTGAGCACTTAGTATTTGCTTCCAGAAGGCAGCAATAGAAAAACAACTGGCTCTAAAAAAGATCTATTTATAAAGAGATACTGTGACTTCTTTGTGATTTAGGAAGACATCAAAATGGTAATTTGTGGTGAAGAGATGTATTAGAAATTTAAACAAAAGAAAATACATTGAACTTTGAACATCAAATTATTTGAACTTCATTTTCATAAAATATTTTGCTTTCCCTTTATTTTTCTAAAATTAATCATTTCCCTACAGCAAAATCACATTTTAAAATATTGGTATGGTAACAATGTTGTAAGCAATTTTATAAACCTAAATGGTTAGTTTTGCAATATGTCATTCAGCATCATTAAGAATCATTGCATGTTCCCATTGATACAAAGTAAATGACGCAATCGCATTCAATTGAAAAGGGTCTCTTTGCAAATCAATCAGTTATTTTGCTATAATAAAAGACAGGTCTAAATGGACTGATGTTCAATAATTTACCATCAACCCTCTAATGAGTCTCTTAGCTACCATCTAGTTTAAAGTCCTATCACAGACAAGATGGATGAAACAACACATTGCATTGAGGAAATCTGCTGAAAAGACCTCTTTAAAGTGTTAAAAGCAAAGATGTTGCTTTGAGGACTAAGCCAGGATATTTTCAGCAACCTCACATGCATGAGAAAGTTGGACATAAGGAAGACCAAAGAAGAATCAATACATTTGAATGAGGGTGCAGGCAAAGAATATCGACGGCACCGTGGACTGCCAGAACAAAGGAATCTATCTTGGAAGAATTACAGTCAGAGGGCTCTAGAAGCAAGCACTGTGAGACTTCGTTGTACATACTTGGTTGTCAGCAGAGACCAGTCCCTGGAGAAGGACGTTCTGTTTGCAAAAGTAGAGAGGCCATGAAAAAGAGGAAGACCCTTAACAAGATGGAGCAACAATGTCTCGAACAATTGTGAGCATCTTTCTGTTGTAGCTAAAGCTACAACACTGCCCCTGAACAACAGCACCGACGCCATCAGAAATCAGAGTGGATTTCTTGTATGTCAATGCTCCTTTGGGTCCAAGAGACTGTGTAGGTTGCTAACAGCATGGTTTATAGTATACATACAACAGAACATAATAGAAAGAGAATTAAAAAAAATAATTAGCAGTATATAGAGGTATAGCTATGATTGCCCCCTAAAAACACATAATGGTTTGTGGGTAAAAACAAATGATTGCAGGGTGGGCAAGAGGGTTAAGGGATTCTGAGTGGTGATAATCCTCCCTCCCCAGTCCAGCCCCCATCAAGAAGACTATAAAACACAACATAGCAGAAGGCAGGGGTGCCCTCTTAGGCCAGCAATTGCAGCAATTGCATCTGTTTAGGAAAAGAGACTATGGCAGCATTTAGTGCATTTCACAGGCATAAAGTTAGAGAAACTGACTACTCACATTTGCTTGGATGATGACAAAGTAGCGAGTCTTATCTTCATAATTGAGTCTCTTCCTTAACACCACGTTTCCTGTCAGCATGAGGGGAATTTCGAAGGTGTCGTTGGACGTCTGAAAATAGTCAAGGATATATGTTTGAGATAATCTGACTGTAATAAATTAGGCAAAGAACCCAACATTATTATTTAGCCCTCTTGAAAGACAGGTAGCATGCCTATATCTGAAAATACCCATTGAATGTGAATATAAATTTTAGATGTAATATTTTTATCATTTCTAAGAATATTTCATTTGATCAAAGTGTTTCATGAGAGTTCTTTACTAATGATAACCAGGAAATATATTTCCGTTGGTAATTCTTCATATGTCATAAATTTGATTAATCCACAGCTCTAAGAAATTGCTAAAGCAAAGTCAAGATATCTGAAAATCTTCCTTATTATCATATTTCCCTATATTTTAATAATTTATTTGAACACTAAGTATTTAAACATTAGTAATTTGTGATTTCTACATACTACCCCTTTCCAATATTCATGCCCATTCTATTTAGAGGTATAGATATGCTTATATATCTTTTCATACATCTGATGCATGTACAATTGTGATATATATAATATAAATATATTATCATTATCTAAAAATTTATTATCTATTGTAAAAATAGATGATCATAAAACACATTCTATAAAACATTTATGTTATCTATCTGCTATGGCTATTACATATATAAAGCATACATATTATCTATATTAAATTATCTATAATAAAATATAGATTATATAAAACAGATGCATTTTATCTATGTCATATGTTTTATATAATCTATATTTTATAATAATTTATTTATAATGAATAATATATGACTCATACATAACATACTTTAAATATTATATATATATACATATTCTTTTTTTCTGATCAGAAAGGATGTATTGGAGGGCTGGCTGAGCATGTAGCCCTGAATAATGATGTGGGAGAGTGAGCAGACAGGATCCCTTTCCTCTGAATCATTAACCTAGGCCAGTGGTCCTCATTGGCCCCGCCCGACTGGTTGGTAATACTAGTAGTGGATCCCCCAGATGCTCGATGAGTAAGGATTTGTAGCCAAAGGCCTTCTTGCCCATGTGGGTCTACAGGTACCTGAAGAAGGGGGATGGCTACAGAAGACCTCCTTACACTCACAGAGCTTGTGGTCTGTGGGGTTGCCCAAGGGTGCCTTGAGGACAGGAGGAGGATGGGATGAATCCAAAACACGGAGGGAAGTGCTAGCTGCACTCCTGGCAATCCTAGACCTTTTCACTGGCAGGAAGGCCATAGTCCCTACTTCCACCTCTTCGCACTGTACTTGCAACTCTTACTGCAGGACTCACAATGGTTGTATTTAGCCCTGTGCTCCACTCTGCCAGTTCTTTAAGCCCATGCCTACGTCAAAGCTGCTACCCGGCTCCCAGGCTCCTTGTCACTCTTGTGTGAATAGGATGCAGCCCCTTGATACTGGCCCACTAGTTCTTCCAAACTGGCCTCTAGATGGAAATTGTTTCCACACTTAGCTTTCCTAGGAACAATCCTTATCAGACTGGTGGACATCCCTGTGCCAGGGCTGGGCAGGACTGGGGAGATAGTAGCACCTTCTTATGCTTCAACTCAGAATCAGGCCAGGAAATATTTCTCCCTATCTCAAATCCCTGAATGTCCGGGGGATCCAGGTCCAACCGTTCCTAATGGTTCCTCCTCGGGTTCTGACTAAAACCTCAGAACTGGAGAAAGTGTATCGTATTGATTAGCACGGAGGCCAAGGAAGGTCTTGTGAGGTCCAGGAAGGGACTTCAGTAATGCGAGCTTGGCAGGGTCCTGGGAAGGCCAAGACACTCGATAACCACTTTGAGTCACCATCTTTTCTCAGGTGTCTTGAAGACAAGAACACCGGCAAGTCTTCTCCTCGCTGTGATAGGGGAGATAGGGCTCTCAGGATGAAAGCCTTTTGGTTCATTGGCTGCAGACCCTTCGTGAGAGCTCAGATTCAGCCCCCAGCACTGTAACAGTAGAGGGATAAGGGGAAATCAGGAACAAACACTCTGCGGCCCCCTCCTTCCATGTGGGAGTGCTGTAGCGATGAAGAGGGGCCTGGAATTGGAGATGGGACCACTGAGAGCAGCCACCACCCAGGCTCAGCCCACAGCTCTACACAGGTGTGTGACCTCAGACATTGTGATACCTGGACATTGCCGTTGTTTCCATGACTTCTAATTCATATGATATCCTATTTCACAAACAGGCTTGTGAATATTACATGATACATGCCATATGACAAGCATTAAGTATAAATATTCACTTGAAATTATGATTTTTTTAAAGTCTCTGGTGCTTTTAGGATCAGACAAGGCTGCTTAAATTATGTAAATTTTACCCAACTGCCTCTGGGGTTCGGTTTCCTCCTGATAATGTGTTGGCCATACAACGCCATCTGAGAATGTCTTCTTATGTTCTGTTAAAAGCAGTGCTAAGTGTAAACCAGTGTTTCTTTCACTTTAAACAGCTAACATCCAGCAGCTCCTGTCTCATTGCAACCCCATGTGTGTCAGAAGAGAAATGTTTCCCATTAAGTTTCCAGTACTTTTGTTTTTTTTTAATAGATTTCCAGGCCGTTCTTCTGAAATGTCTCTGGGTAGACTCTACCATTAACCCATTGGTCATCCTCTGTACTGCCAAAGGGCAGTAGCCCTGGTAGTGACTTAGAATTAGGCTGCTAACCACAAGGTCAGCAATTCGAAATCACCAGGCTCCCCAAGGAAAGAGGAGGAGGCTTTCTAGTCCCGTAAATAGTTATAGCTTGGAAACCCATGGGGGCAGTTCTACCTAATCCTACAGGGTCACTGAGAGTCAGACTGGACTCCCTGGCAGTGACCTTGGTGTGGTTTGGATGCACCACCCAGAGAACCAAGGTTGTTCTCAGGGAGAATAACTATAAGGAGTGAGTAGCAGACTCAGGATGGCAGAGTAGAAATTGCACAAGCCTGGACCTATTATGTCAACTCACTGAACCAACCAATCTTGATACTACCCTGTATTTCAATATTATATTGTAAGAAACAATAAATGCACTTCTTGATTATGACACATTTCTTTTCCTTGTCTATTAATTGCACCTGAAATATTTTCAAGCATAAGTATCCATTGTCTATATGTTTTTACAGTGTAGCCCTACCCCTTGCCATTAGAAGCCATGAGTTTTTACACCTCATTTCTGCTCTTATTTCTGCCTACCTGCAAACCCCTCAAAGGTGGAGAGCTGTGGGAGCAGAACAATGTATATGTACTTCAGCATGCCTACATTTCAGGAAACAAGGCAATACCTGCTTGCTGATAATTGGAGATATTTATCCATAAAAACTTAAGTGACTTAGTTTCTTTGTGTAGAAGGAATTTAGATGCTAATCTCTACCCGCACAATACTAGTGACTCATATCTAACTATGGGCACACTTTTAATAACCTCTTCTTAATCTAACTTGACAGGCTCCAAATGTACAGCTTCCATCAAAAATAACATATTACGTAGCACATCATTAACTGAGAGAATATAGTTACTCAGCTACTATCAAAATAGTCATGGTTGCCCATGAATTGATAAAATTAAAGGTGGGATGGTTAAAACAGTTTTGTTCTGTTTAGAAAGATGGGGAGTCGGATGGGATCCATCCACCTTAACACATGTATTGTCCTGTGTTCTTTGAGAGACTAAACCAAGGTTATCGCTTTGGCATCCCCAAAAAGGTCACCATAAATGTCTGAGCTGACCTGTCTTCGTTGAATGTAACTGGGTCTGCAGGGCCCCTGAGAAGCCCTTGTTATGATTATACCTTTCTCTCTGGATTATATTGGGAAATCCAATACTTGAACCCAGTTATGATTTGCTCCATAAAAGCACCTTTATTAGCTTCAGTCTTGCTTAAAAGACTTCTGGAAAGATCAGCTTGCTAAGGTAGCTGATCTTCATGCCAATCTTTTGGCACTCATAAAGTCAAAAGTTTGCTGAACCCAACATGTTCACTTAACATTGAAAATGCTGAACTAGGTGAGATCCCACCTCCTGTACCAATTGCTTCAAGTGTAATTAAATGGGTTCCTGCCATCGTTTCTGGACTTCAGTCATAGATTCTTCATTTGTTTAAGTTAATGACCGTCCTTCTCTTGACTCATCACTGAGATATTACCAACCTTTTTAAAAATACTTTATGCATCAAAAACTGTTCCTTAATTTGGGACAGAATTGCCATTAACTTATTGAAAAATTCAATGAGTAGAGAGAATGTCCACTTAAATTTTGTGAAAATTTGACAATATTATTTTTCCTTGGAATAAAGATTATCCCTTTTCTCTTGGGAGAGCATCCTAACCCATCTAAGACAAATGAATTACTGAGGGAGCTTGCTAGCCTAAGTTTTATTTGGAATAAACCCAGGCATGTATGAAATAGAACCCTAGAAGCAATGCATTTTGACTTGTCTTCATTACACAAAACCAAGTTAAAATTGGGCACAGAGAGATGCCAGATGGAGATGTCCAAGAACTGGAGAAGGTAGGGGTCGAACAACTAAGTGATCTCCCCCAGAACTGAGGAAGAGTTACCCCAGAACTGGTGACCTGAATTTGGATTTGTTGCTTCCTTATTTTTGAGAAAGTAAAGCTCTATTCTTTAAAATTACCCTCCTGGTACTTTTGTTACAAGATTAAGGAACTAAGGTATTCTGAGAACTTCAAAAAGTTTATGTAAAATTTAATTATCCTTAAATTCCACTTTCCAAGAAGATTTGAGAAGCCTCCTCGTACGTAGGAGAGATAGATGTATGAGTGTACTTGGAATTGGGAAGTTTCACCGGTCTCTCAGGGATGATAAGCTCTCTCATTTTTCTATAACTTTTATACATCAGTCATGTTCTCTCTTCTTTTTTCTTCTTACACAAGACTGTGACTTTAGTTTCAATAACCAGCACCGCATTAGTGTCCTCATCAGTCACCATTACAAAATTCCAGAGGTAGAATACAATCAGCTTTAACCTTAACCTGTCTCTGCCTAAACCAGAACACTGTGTCATCCGCTACTAATCACTATATAGGTTGATTGCCCTTGTTAGAGGGACTACACTTATGTGATTACCTAAAGGTAGAAGGGGAGAGTTAGGAGGGTAAGTGGCCCTTACCCACTCAAGAGGAACAAAGAGTTGTACTAACAGCATTAAATCTGTCCCGATAGAAAAAAAATTTAATTTTGATCATGTTTTCTGTTTCATATTGACTTAACTCCTTCCTTCCCTTCATAAATACACACAAAGATGCATTGCATATGTACAAATGTGCTTGAGGCAATGGATGTATGTATATATTGTGACAAGAGTTGTATGAGCCTCCAATAAAATGATTCATAAAAAAATAATAAATGAATGAAGCAAAACAAACCGATGTATTAAAGAGTACAATGCAGCTATTCCACCTTTTTAGAACCAATTTCTTAGGAAAGTATCTTTAAAAGTATCAAGGGTTCATGAGGGAGTGGGCAGCGGGGAAGGAGGGAAGAAAATGACGAGCTGATACCGAGAGCTCAAGTAGAAAGCAAATGTTTTGAGAATGATGATGGCAACAAAGGTCCAAATGTGCTTTACACAATGGATGGATGGATGGATTGTGATAAGCGTTGTACGAGCCCCCAATACAATGATTTAAAAAAAATACTTGCCTTTCCTGAGAGGCATGTGTGCTGTGACTTTAAAATGTGGATATGAATTGAAAAGAAGACCTGGGCTCAAAGTTTCGCGCAAAGGATAGTTTAGACAATCACCCAATTAAACCTCCATATTCGCTGTAAAATAAAAATACTATGCTTTTATGGCCCTAAGACTTCCATTAGAGTGATCTATGTAAATCATTATTAAAGTTTCAAACAATGCTCTTTGCAAGCTACTTAAAAATAAGCAATAACAAGTCTTAATATGAAATATTTCAATATCCAAAATTTGGACGTTGACTTTTATGCAAAACTGTTTCAGGATAGCGATCCGTTAAAACCCTTTTGCATTTGAACAGAGCTTTTAACTTCCTCACTCAGGATATAGACATATATTACATGCCTAGACATCGCAAATGAAAGCATGTCTCCTGTTTTCTCAATCCTCTGAAAGGTGTAGGGAGCCACATATATTAATTGCAAAAGAAAGACGATATATTCAGGAAGAGTTGTAGAAAGATGTCCTCACTCTCTGACACGCCTAACAGCACCATCAAGACAGAAAGGCTGGGTGTACCGTTCTAACATCTCCAGTGCTTTTCCAAAGGGCAGCTGGAGTTCCAGGAAATGCTGTGTCACTACCGCACTGCAAGTCCTCCGCTCTTTCCTATGACTCAGGTCAAAACACTTAAACAGGTGACTAAGTATCACTCTCGCCCGGTATTCATGAAAAGATTAAGAAATTTGATGTGATAACCTCTTATATGTATAAACTTATCAAAATCACATTCAGGAGGCTTTTGAATATTCAGAATGATTCCTACTTTATAATTTCATCTTTTTCATATGCCATAAACTCTCCGAAATGAAAGTTTCTACAGAGCAATGTGGTAAAAATCTTGACCTTCTTCTTCTTTCTTTCTATTAAAGGACTTCATTAGTTCAATGCATTATGACTTTGCTTTCTCTTAGTATGAGAGTCCTAAAAAGATTATTTCACAAAACTGTAGTGAGCAAAGTACACCTTCTCTGAGTCTATAGTCTAGAGGATTTTAATAATAATGCTTTATGAGATTATTTTATGAATGATAAAAATGATAAAATATGCTGCAGGAACAAAAACCTCAAAAGTAATGAACTAGCATAATAAAAAATAATTAGCAGAGAATAGAATCTTTAATCCAGAATCTAGGATATTTATTAATGTGGTATTAATTATTACTTTATCATAAATATAGCAAGAAAGTATAGGAGATTATGTGGGTACAAAGCCATAAATGAAATATCATCATGTAAATATCAAGAGGAGAAAAATCTAAATTAGAATGTAAAATATCTTGATGTTTTAAAGATATTGATATAAACAACTGCTGGCCAAAATGCGTATGAGCCAAACTAAACCCTAGATCACTAGTTGGTGAGTTCTGGTAATGAATCTTATGGCTCAAAGTAGGGAGGGGGGCGGGCAGAACTACGAATCTGATGAATAGTGGACAATCTATATTTTCTCCAATTTACCACACCATGTGAGATAACTTGAGAAGAAAATATAATTGTGCTTGCAAAAAGAGACATAATAAATAATACAATCATTACACATGCAATTTTGTTTTCAGATTAAGAAATAAGGAAAATATTATACTATTAATATGAGGGAGTTATTGGATAATTAACAATAGTAGAACATAAAAATCACTAAATATATTTCTCATAGCTCTTCAAGGGAAGAAATAAGTACCAAGCTTTACATAAGATTTCTCTGATGGTTCAAGATGTATTAGCTCCCCAAAAATATGTCTTGGTTAATGCTTTCTCCACTAATAAATCCCAAATTAAGTGCTGTCCTGATGTCTTTTTTGTTGCCTCACTGAATTAAAACCATGATCAAAGAATCTCTTTATTTATTCCACATTAAGGCTGGACTAACAAAATACATTTTTCTAGGGTATGTGTTTGATTTGGACACGGCACATGGCTAATTGGATTATTCATTCAGTAAATAGTAAAAGGTGCATATTATATTTGATGTCAGAACCACAAATCCCTGTGGGGAGGTAATGCTGATATTGATTATTACACAGGTAACAAGGAATTTTAGCGTCACAAAGCTTCCAAAAGATAGCTTCCAACTCATGAATTTTGTGTTAGATATAAACCATGAATATGGATTTCTTGTTTAACTGCAGTGCAATAAATAGTTTAAAGTGCATGCTCTGGCCATTCTACTTGACGGGTGGTTTCTTGTTTATAGTTCAAGGAGTAAAGATTAGGAAATCACCTTCATGGAATGTAAGCTATGACCAGGGCACACATAAATTAATTCTTAAACAAACCATAGTAGCAAATCAAATAAATAGCTTAGAAATAGAATGCAGAGTAGGTTGTCTGTTTTTCCTTTAAGGCATATATATTTTCCTCCTATGCTGTTTGTTTGACCATTTCCACTCTCGTTCCTCAGGAATCCTATGATTCTTAGTGTCTGCCTTCTTTGCCACAGACGCAATATCTCCCCATTTCTTGGCTTCATTGTCTCTGCTTACAAACATGCTGAAACTTACTGTTTTTGATTAATAATAAAATAAAATAAACCATCCCTTCCTTATATCTGCTATACCCATGTCTCTTTATTATTCATTCCCATCCTCTATTTTTTTCTTTTTCTAATTACCACAGGTATTACAAATGTTTCCTTTGAACAAAATCGGAAAAGTGTACAGTGCATGATAGTCTCAGATTAGACTACCTCTGAGTCCTGACACGTGGAATTTGCACGGGGCTTCCTGGGTGGTACCAACATAAGCTTGACGGACATAGTCCACCCAAAGGTACCGCAAAAGGGAAGTCTAGTGATCTCCTTTACAAAATTAGTTCTTGAAGAACCCTATGGAGCCTATAGAGATGCAATTCAGTTGGGAGGAGCCAGGAATTATTATTACTGTTACTGGTCTTGTTCTTAGTTTTTGAAAAAAATGTCATATCAATTACGTTATTTCACCTATGAGCCTTTTATCTCAATTATGGAAAAGAAGTGCTCCTACCAATTAGCTAACATGTGGGAATAAAACGAGAATATGAATTCCCAGTACACTTTAATTATCACAATATATTTGTGAGTTAAATCTTACTACCAGTTAATAATTCTTACAAATTTACAGTTACGAGTTTCTATGAGTTTAACATAGGTTTTGTGGGCTTTTTGGGGGGGGGGTATGTGTGATTGTTTAATTGTATTTTTAGTTGCTTAAAGTTAGATAATGAATATGAAATCTAAAAATAAAGGCGTAATAATATATTAGCCATATTTGACATTCCTAGCATTAAACATGAAAGAGAAGATGCTACATGGAACACTATTAATTAATGGTTTCAAAACTCTGCTTTGAAGAGCCCAGGGTATTCTGTGAAGAGGCCTACGAAGAAGAGATCCAAATAACAGAATCCAGCTTTAGCTTCAGGCACAAAATTCTGGTTGAATCAGGTGTACACTTCACTGTTTAAATTGTTTCACAGCTTCAAGAAATGTCAAAAATATATGCCCTAATGCAAAAGAGGGAAAAAAGCAAAAATAGGAGGGCAATAACTAAAACCTTTTATGATTACCTTTGCTTTATTTTGGTCAGATTGCTGGGATTCTTGGGAAATGCCAACACCAGAAATATGATCCTGACGATATTTTTTTGGAGAAGTAGAGGAATTACATTAATTTGACTTGTAGACAGTATAGTCAACTATTCAACATTAAGTTTCGATGATACAGAATACACAAACACATGGACATTTAGTAGAAAAACTTGGCATATTATAAATATATTTAAAGCTTTTATCTACATATGTTAACAACAAATTCAATTTGAAAACTAGAGGACACAATTTTAAAATGCAGCATAGAGATACTTTTACCAGTATTATTGGTACTACTATGGGTCCTTGGAGCTGAAATTGAGTCATGCAATAAAGTTAGTTGAAAGGAACATTCATTTGCTGCTTATAGTCAAGCCACCTTGCAAATAGGCATGTACATACCGGATCATCTGGATTATATTGAATAACATATTCTATCTGTCCATTTGGGCCATCATCTATGTCTGTAGCTCCATTGTCTCCTGAAAATCCTGTAAATATTGTGGTACCAACTGGAGTGAGCTGAAAGTACATAAAAGAAAAACCTTAAATTATCATTCTATAGGCCGCACTCCACAATTGTTTCAGCACACTAATCAACCATTTTGTACATATGTGAAGAGTAGGCACCTGCCTGCAATCCCCAACCTGAAGCATTTTCAAAAGAAGCCTTGCAACTTTTCCATGGAAGCTTTTTATACAGTCTGAAATTTCAAAATTCATGATCTTTGTTCTGAGCAAAGAAATGTTACACACTGCTTTAGTGTGTAACCCATGTGGACTCATTTATTACAACTAGTATCTGAGCTGCTGTGAAGGAAATTCATCTGTTGTTTCTCCTTTTTTAAAAACTTGATGCATTGTTATACAGAAGCTCGGATTTAAATTGCAGGAAGTTTTTAAAAGTATTTTTATTACTTTAAAACAAACAAACATTTAAACACATCAGAGAGATCAATGAAACAGACATTGTAATTTTATGCAAATGAAGTTAAAGGGAAGGGAAAATGGGGACAAGAGAGGTACATTTACAGAGGATAAAGGGAATGGGGGATCTTTTCAGTCCTTTAAATGTTGGTTGAATACAAATTGTCACATGACAAGGTCTGAAGAAATAGTTACCTATTTTCATACAGGATAAAAGAAATGTTGAAGGAGAAGATGAAACCATGATCTGACATTTGTCTACAGCCCTAGCGTCATTCCCGTCCTTCGATTTTGAGTTGGAATCCTACCCAAAGTTACATCTCAACTTAAAAGATGTCACCTTCTCCTAAAACACTTCTGTATTTCAAAACATGGTGTTCCTTATGATTTGGCTTTGATTTTATACTTTTGTTCCTTCATTACTCTGCTGTCACACTAAATATAGAAATGCACAAATTTTAGCAATAAATAGATGCTCCTATTTTATAGGTCAGAGCCATTATTTTTCACAGTTTTGTTTGGAAATGGAAATGCAGTTAAGGTGAGAAAAAAAGCATATTCTCTAAACCCAAAACCATTTTCCAATTTCCCAATTCTTATTGGCCATTAAACTTTTAGAAATGTTTTTTTATGGCAGAAGTTGATTGGAATAAATGGTTTGAAAGACTATGAAGTGCTATGGCATCTTCATATTATCTTCAATTCATATTTTTGTCATTGACACATTTTTAAGTCAATTTAGAAATTTCATTTTCATATAGGTAAAATAACTAAAATTTAGTAGTTTAAAATAAACCATACATTCATTTTAATGTTATAAATGCATTTAAATGTATTGAATATTTTAAAACAATTATGCTTAGTGATGAAATTAGTGAAAGATGATAGAGAACAGACTATACAACACAAAGGATAGGACTAATAATTTATTTGATTATGTCTGTAATTTAAGGCTAATACAAAAAACAATTCCATTTCAAATACTCTCATTTTAAGAACTGACTATAATTGGGAATCTTAAGAGAATTTACATGCTAGGTTTTTAAAGTAATTCCTTTAAAGTAGAAATATATATTGAAAATCAATGTTATTACTTGATATTCTGGAATGGAAAATAAAAGAGAAACAAGTACCTAGAAAAGAGGAGGAAAAATGCTTACAATTTCTAGCATTCAGGGGTTTGAAAATTCTTTAAAGATAATTCTAAGTTCTCTCTTTTTTTACGTTAAAATAATTATTTTAATTTACATAAAAATGAAGATGATAGAACAGTTTCACTTATTTGCTAAAATTAATGAGCTAACACCTGTTTATGATTTTTGTAAAAATGTAAAACTTTATTTTCCAACAATGATAATAAAGTGTTTAGTTGTTAATGTGGAGCTTTTATGCAGTGTCCATCTATGATGAAGTTTGACATTTGTTTAAAACTCACTGGCATTGGAGTTAATTCCATCTCTTGGCACCTCTACAGAGGCTTCTGAGTCTGTAAGTCTGTATTGGTGGAGACAGCCTCACTTTTTTCTAGTAGCAGCTGCTTGGTTTGAATTGTTGACTTTGTGAAGAATTTAGTAACCCAATGCCTAGTCCATAGCCCCACTGAGCCTCCTTTGGAATTTGTCTACACACCAAGCAAACTTGCTGCCTGCGAGTCAATTACAACTCACAGTGACCCACTAAGGCAGGAGAGGATTGCCCCTGTGGTTTGCTATACTGTAATGCTTTACGAGAGTAGAAATCTTTATCATTCTCAGGAATGACTGGTGGTTTCAAACTGTTGACCTTGCAGCTAGCAACCTCTACTGGTGAATTTTGCTCTTGTCCATAGGTTTATGTTCATGCAAGATTCTTCATTCTCATTTCCGCTAACAGAATACAAAAACATCACTTCAATATATACAAATGTAAAATGCAACCCTAAAAGAAAGCATGCCTCATCGACATGGGGAAAGTAGAGAGCAGAAAAAGAAGAATTGATGCATCCGGATTGTCGTGCTGGCAAAGATATCAGATGTACCATGGATTGTCGAAAGAAAAAAACAACTCTGTTTTGGAAGAAGAAGAAATACAGCTGGGATGCTGTTTAGAATAGAGGATGATGAGACTTAATCTTACCTACTTAGGACATGTTATAAGGAGATCAGTCTGTAGAAAAGGCACCATGCTTTGTAAAGAGAAGAAGCCCCCTATGGAGATTAATTGACACAGTATCTACAATGAGCTCAAACATAACAGCAATCATGAGGATGGATCAGCACTGGAAGTGTTTCATTCTGTTGAACAAAGGGTGCTTCCCATATTTAATGTGTGATCCAAGACTCAGATGTTGGACATATTAATAGATAGCCTGAGCTTTATAATAGTTTGTATGTATATGTGTGTGTGTGTTTAAAGGTGAAAAAATTGAAGGTAAGGCATTATGTGCTGAAATTTAAAATGTCCTATTGAGGAGAACTGGATTTGATGCTACAGGATTGCTGTGAACTAGAATAGACTGAATGGGAGGGAGTGGGTTTGGTTGTTTTTTTATTTGCTCTTTGGGTGGGGGGTACTTGATGCCAATAAGCAGAGGAGAATAAAAATAGGGACATCTACAAAGTTAACAAATTATCATCGATTTTGGAATCTAATTTCATTACTTTGCTTCACTTAAATACCAACAGAAATATATATGTATGTACATATATGTGCATGTGGGTATACACATATATAAAAAAACCTGGAAGCACTGTGGTTAAGTGCTAGGTTGCTAGACTGAAGGTCAGCAATTCAAATTACCTGCTAATCTGTAGGTGAAGGAGGAAGCTGTGACAATTTTCTTCTATAAAATTATTAACAATCAAAACAAAACAAACTCACTGCCAACAAGTCAATTCCAACTCATCTGGACCCCAAAGGACAGGGTAGAACGGCCTCTTTGCATTTCTGAGATTGTTATTCTTTGTGGGAGTGAAAAGCCTTGTCTTTCTCCCCCAGAGTGGCTGGTGGTTTTGAACTGTTGACTGTGCTCTTGGCACCCTAATTAGTAATGATTAAGCAACCTGAGTTCCTGCCTAGGAAAATATATGGGGCCATTCTATTCTGTCTGATAGGGTCCAGATGAGTTGGAATCAACTTGATGGCAATGGGTTTTATACCTATTAAATAAATGTATAAAAATAAATATACACATACCCTTATCTGGACTTAAAATCACTGTTTTCTATACAAAAGACGTGTTAACCAGATGCTGTGTGGATTTCTGAATATTATGTATTGGGTACAGATTTTTGCATAACAGTCAGATTGTCTATTACAATCAGTGTCTCTATATACATTATTAGTCACCATTTTCAGGACACATCTGTCATGCAGATGGTCATACACTGTGTCCTGTAACATTTTAACAAGTCTCAGAAATATAAATTTGGAATTTTGAAGGGCCCTCTATGCAGAGGAAAATCCTCAGCTCGAGCAGCTGCCTGGGGGTGTCATTTATTTAGCTCACGCTTCTCGCTTCACAAATGCTTTTCGACAGATATTGAAAAATGCATGCAATGCATAGATACATTTAAATGCAAACGTTAAATATGATCACCAGGAATTAAATGAAATATTTCGAGAAAATGTCAATGGTAAGAGAAATTAGAATGTGAATGTAAAAGGTCAGCAGTTCTTTATTTTCAGATATTTTGTGAGTTACAGGCATTTGAGCCAACCCAAATATTAAGAGCAGCTCTCCAAAAAGAAGATTTTTGTCCTCCCTAATATTACTTGCCCTCTCTCTCCAACAGAATAGAGAATTCACAATCTTCTATAAATACAAAACAAATATGAGTAGTAATTCATTCACTTGGTTGAGAGACATAAATGAGCAGAAATCACGAGGTTTAAGTTTGAATCCTCTCTGTTGCTGTCTTTGTTTACCTCTGTAAGCCCTGATTTGCAGCAAATCTTCTTGGGAAGTCAATGCCATTACCTGTGAAAGAGCTAGCTTAAATGTTGACGAATACTTTAGACCTCTATTTTGATGTTTTATTTAAGATTATAATAAATGTAGAAACTTAGTGACACTGTAGACTAATCATTAGGTTGCTGACTGTAGGTTCAGTAGTTTAAGCCCACCAGCCATTCCATGGGAGGAAGTTGTGACTACCTGCTTCTGTAAAGATTTAAGGTCTTGAAAACCTCTATAAGATGGGATGTCAGACTGACGTGACCGTACTGAGATAAAGCAGGACAACTCGATGGCAGTGTTTGTATCTTCAGGTTTAATAAGGTAAAGACATCAATGCTTCATAAAGGTAGCTATGTTGCTGTTGTTAGGTACTGTCAAGTTGGCTGTACTCAAATGCATGGGGGCAATAATGGAAGAAATTTGGAAGACATGGCCTATTATGTTAATTGACTTTTAAAAGCAATACATTTGAAACAGGCTGTCATTGTTGAAAAAAATAAACAAATATTTGAATTGAACCATATATATGCCCATAAGTAACTCTCACAAATAGAGTCAACCAGTCATTTAAAAAAGACAACAGGAAGAGGAGCTTCAAGATGACCCCCAGGTAAGCAGCCCATAGGAGCAGCTCCAGTGGGTCTGGTATTCAGGAGGT